TTTCAAGTGGTCCACATGTTGTTAACTATCAAAAAATCATTCTGGGACACTCCTCTCCTCCAACACTCTCTCTACTATCTTCAATGAATATTCATTCTAGAGGTGTCACCGGACTTCATCCAAGCTGATCAAGAGCAACTTCTGGGAGGCAAGGACTACATGCAAGATACTGAAGATCCTTCAACCCCCGGCATCAAATAACAAATTGCCAAGAAGACATCAAAGGGGAGATTGCAAGGATTTCTTCAGAGAGCCTTCCTCAGAAGTCAAAGTTCAAAGACAAAGGAAGCTGAATAACAACAAAGACAAAGATATATGCGCTGCAACGCTGATTCAACACGATTGAACACCAAGGGGGAGATTGTTAGGAATATTTTATGGTGTCCAATCTAATTAAATATCTTTGTATTTGTGCTTATTAATTAAACGTGTAATACGGGCCACAAATGTGTATCAGCCCGTTAGCTTCCTTGTAACCCGTAAGTTAGCCAACTTTTCCTATAAAAGGAGGCTAACTTATGAGAACCCAAACAACGTTTGAGGCTTTAGAGAACAGAGGCGAGATAGAAAGAGTTAGGGTTTTCCGCTACTCTCCTTCTCCAGGGAGAGCAGCGGCTGTTTATCACGGTATACCAGATTCGGTTCATCTTCTCCATATCTTTCCATCTGCTTCTTCTTCACTGCTTATGATTGTTTTATTGTTAAGTTTTAGAACTGTCAATTGGTATCAGAGCCGAGGCGTGAAACAGGTTGAATCTATCTACGATTTTTCTGATCTTACGAAGAACTGCTCTGCTTTTCTTCTCTTTTTCTTTGATATAGAGATTTGCTCCTGTTATCTTGTTTGTGAACAAAAATCTGCAAAAATTATACTGTTGGAATCGCCTTTCAAAACCGATCTAGCAGCATATCTCTGTTTTCGATTTCTGCAATTTTTCAATTTCGAAGATCTCTACATTTGAGATCTCGAGATTCTTGTTTTTCACTGCTGCAGAAACGACTTTGACTTGAAACTGATAAAGGAGAATCTCGACCTTCAGGGCTATTCAGAACAGGTTTCAGTTTTTCAAAAATCGAAGTTTTTATTTTGCAGGATCTTGACATTTAGGGCCTCGAATTCCTCATCTCGAGTTTTGAAATCCCGAGTTTTTGAAATCTCAAGTTTTTGAAATTTTGAGTTTTTGAAATTTCGAGTTTTGAAATTTCGAGTTTTGACATCTCGAGTTTTGAAAACTCGAGTTTTGGAATTACGAGTTTTGGGATTTCGACATTTGGGATCTCGAGGCTTAGGATCTCGACATTCCTAAGATTTCGAAATTTTCAAAATTTCTCGATGTTTTGAATTTTTCAAAGTTTGGAGTTTCTTGAATCACTGATTTCTTCTAAACTTGATATCTTTCTTGTTCAGAACACTTCGAAGCTTTACATTATAGGATTTTTGGATGAATCTCTGTTTTTCAAAGTTTTTAGAAGTTTTCGATGTTCTGATGGTTTTCAAACAGCAAGTTTTCGATTTTCTGAGGTTTTCGAAACTCCAAAGTTTTCGATGTTCCCAACATTTTGAAATTCTGAAGATTTCGAAGACTGTAGGTTTGTTTGGCAGGTGGATTTCGTCATTATTCTTTGAGGCAAACTCGAGATTAAGATCTCGAGATTTAAACCTCGCAATTGTAATCTCGAGATTTAAAACTCGAGATTGTAATCTCGAGATTTAAACCTCGAGATTGTAATCTCGATATTTAAACCTCGAGATTGTAATCTCGAGATTTAAACCTCGAGAAGATGAACCGAATCAGGTATACCGTGATAAACAGCCGCTGCTCTCCCTGAGGGAGAGCAGCGGAAAACCCTAACTCTTTCTATCTCGCCTCTGTTCTCTAAAGCCTCAAACGTTGTTTGGGTTCCCGTAAGTTAGCCTCCTTTTATAGGAGAAGTTGGCTAACTTACGGGTTACAAGGAAGCTAACAGGATGATACACATTTGTGGCCCGTATTACACGTTTAATTAATAACTGCACAAATACAAAGATATTTAATTAGATTGGACACCGTAAAATATTCCTAAGAGGGCATTCTCTGTCAGAATCAACATAATCTTCCGGCACCTTATCCTCAAGCGGATCCTTTCGCATCTCCCTTCTTATATGATTGCCATCTTTCCATCTTCTCGACTCTCTGCCTTCAAAGTAACTCACCGCTTCAGTGTTGTCCGACTCCACATCAAAATCGCCATAGCCTTCTTCAACAGCCCAAATCGTAGCATAGCTGATAGCCTGAACCTCCGCATCGACCGGAGAAGAAGCTGTTAGAGGAAACGCGATAGCTACCAACATATTGCCTGAACCTCCAGAATCTCGCATAATCGCACCCCCTGAGGCTTGCCTAGGTAAGTATCTCGCATCAACATTCAATTTGATCTTTAGTTTAGGTTTTCTCCATTTTAGAATCTGAAGATTGGTACCAGTGCTCTTGTAGTTCGCTGGAATAAGGTTTTCCTCAAACAAATTCGAACCAATTGAGCAAACATTAACTTTAGGGAAACTGGTCACCCAATTCTGAGTGTAAATCTTCATCTCGAGAATGATAATATCAGTAGATGGAATAGGGCCTCCCTTTCCCAGGCTTCATTAGAGTAAATTTTTCAAAACTGCCAACAGATTATTCCTGAAATATTATGTCTGAATAAGTCAACCAAGCTTCTATTACCACCTTTTAACCACCAAAATTAGAAGATTCGAGAGTTAAGATTTTGGGACCTAGGAATCCCAAGTATTCCCATAAAGTAAAACCAAATTGGCTTCACTACAGAGCACTGAAATAAATCATGATGTACGGTATCTGAATTATTTTTACATAAAGGGAACATAGATGGATTCATGGTTAAGTTGAATCTGCCTAAGTTGTCAGTAAAGGGAAGAATATTATTAACAATCTTCCATTGAAAAAGCTTGACCTTAAACTCCCGCCAAGGATGCTGATAAGTGCGTATTTCAACACGTTTTTGATGTGTGTTGAGATCAACTTTTGATGGTTTTTCTAGCTTAAGGGTTTCACAAGTCTCATTTTTAGCTTAAGTCATGTTTTACCTGGCGTTGGTTCGATTTTGGTATTTTTGAAGACAAAAACAGGAAATTTGAGCCCGGCATCGGCACTTGAGAAGCAATTAGGACAAGTTGAGATGCAGTTGAAGATGAATTGAGAGCTTTGGAGGTCACCAGGAGGTTTACGCCGAAGATTTGATCCCAAAAGATCTTTAGGATCAATCACGGGAGCATTCAGAGCAAGAAACGAAAGAAAACGATGAAAAAGGGGCCAGGCACACTGTGCCCAATAGGCTAGGCACGCCGTGCGTGCCTGGCAGTGCGCTTGTGACGAGAAACGAGAGGAGGCACGCCGTGACTCTCAAGCTAGGCACGCCGTGCCTCTCAAGCTAGGCACGCCGTGCCTGGATACTGGAACACGAGGTTGCTAACTGCCAAGTGAGCACGCTGTGCCTACCAAACTAGGCACGACGTTCCCGATGATGAAGACAAGAAAGTTTTAGGAGGCATGGACGAGGGCATGTCGTGCCTGTGCGCCGTGCCTGCGCCAGAAACTCTTAGTTCGGCCCAAATTAGTCCGTTTTCTCTATTTAAAGACCCCAAACCCCTGTTTTGAGGGGGAGGGAGCTTAGAGAGAGGTCTAGGGACGTGTTTACACCTATTTTTCCGCATTGTTCTTCAACTACCTTTGGATTATTTGTATGTTCCAACTTTTTAGTTAATGATAATTAATCCTTTTCATCCCAATTCTATTGTTGATTCACTTATGAGTTGTGAGTAGTTTTAATTAGGAATTTCGGATTGATGAAGGTGTTGATCACGATGTATTGCTAGGATTATAATTGCATGTAGAATAAATTAAGAGAGATCTAATTTATTCTAGGACACCTTCACACACACTTAATCGTTCGCTAAGAGATTAGTAACGATTAAGGGGTCGTACGTTCACTCGTTTTGGCAATAATTTAGATACTTGTCGCATGAGAGATCAGCTTGGTTCCCTAAATTATTGTATTCTACGCCGCGAGAGCAATTAGAACTTAGAATTGATTTGTGTTGCTCAATTAATTAATTTTCATGTGATTAAACATGATCATCCAGAAATCTGATTACCCTGGAGCCAATCCTTGTTCCCTTCTGTCATTAATTAGAAAGTCCCAAACTTTATTTTCGTTTAATTGCATTTTAATTTTCCAAACAGATCAAATCTCGCACATTGCATTTATTTTATTTAGTTTTAACCGTTGAACTTAGTTAATACTTAATTCCCTTTTGTCCGTCCCTGTGGAGACGATACTTGTACTTGCACCCTATTCTGCTACGTATTTTAAGTGCGAGAAAACTCACATGAGATGCTAAATGTGTTGGAATGAGAAAGAAATAGAAAACTGCTCTCTTACTTCTTCAATAGCTGATTTGAAAGAAAATTGATCATTTTCCTCTTCTTTCAAGAAAATGTGACCAGATGGGCAAGTGGTGCAAAGAGAGATGGCATGATCATGAACCTGACAAATTCTCCTCCAAATTGGTGAGTCAATTATTTTAGGATTCATGTTATCTCCCCTATCATAACAAACTCTGACGAAATTGGCCCATAGAGAATCACTAGTTTTCCACTTCCACAATTGTTTGAGAGTAAAGGCCCTCTCAATATCTCTCAAGGACCTAATTCTCAAACCCCCTTCATTAGTCAGAAAGCGCAATTTGGACCACCCAATCCAATGAAACTTTTTCTTGGAATCAGAAGAACCCTAGAAAAAAGATGTCATTTTACTATTCAAAACCTTGATAACTTTTTTAGTCAAAGTATCCACAGCTAACACATGGAGGGGAATAGAGTTCAAAACATGTTTAAGGAGAATAAGTTTCCCCCCTTGAGAAAGACTTTTCTGTTTCCAAGGAGTAAGCTTATTCTCAAATTGATTAATAATATGGCTGCAGAACTGAAATCTATTGATACCTTTGTGCAGATTCACTCCAAGATATCTCAAAGGAAGGGATGTAGGCTTCATGTCCATAAGATTCTTGATTCTAGTGTGCCTGACATTGATGGTTTTCCCACACAGAATAGAACTCTTGGTAAGATTCACTGTATGTGCTGATGTTTCCTGATAGTTAGCTAGAAACTTTTTGAAGTTGAGCAGAGACCTTGAATTCTCATTTAGGAAAAATAAAAGATCATCTGCAAATCCCAAGTGAGACATGGGATAACCTGAATTTCCCATCTAGTAGGGCTTCATTTTTCCAGTATCCATCAACCAATTTAAACCCCTGAAGAACCCTTCAGAAGCATTATAAATATGTAGAGAGATAAGGGGTCCCCCCTGTTTGACCCCTCTTTTAGGCTTAAAGAAACCTTGAGGTTTGCCATTAGTAATGATAGATAAACATGTGGATCTAAGATTATTCATGACTAAATGAATAAACTGTGAAGAGAAACCAAATCTGTTTAAAATCTCTGTTAAGTAGGACCAAGAGAGCTTGTCAAATGCCTTAGCCATATCTAGCTTAATCACCATATTTGAGCCTCTAACCTTCTTTTCAATACAATGAATCGTCTCTTGTGCCATTAAAATTTGGTCAGCCATATCCCCGTCAGCCATGAAGCCAACCTGCTCTTCCGAAATAATTTTAGGCAAGATTGTACTAAGTCTAGAAGTCAGGACCTTAGTACAAATTTTGCTAATGAAATTGAGTGACAGATGGGCCTAAAATTAGTAAATGTAACTGGATTATCTTTTTTAGGAATTAAAATAATATGAGAGCTAGACATGCCTTGGGGAATAGTCAAACCAAGAAAGAACTCTTGTACAACCATAGTTACATCCATACCCACAATATCCCAACACTTTTTGAAAAACTTTCCATTAAATCCATCAGGACCAGAAGCACTACTCTGATTGAGATCCCAGACATGTTTCTTTATCTCCTCCGGACCAGGAAGTTGTGCAAGAATGATATTATCATCCCGAGAAATGAGTTGTAGTATATGGTTCAGGATCTCATAATGAGAAATAGAACTTTGACCAGAGAATAGATTCAAGAAGAAATCAATAGCACATCACCAATTTGGGAAGAAGTGGAGATTGTATTCCCAGAACTGTCCTGGATGGAGGTAATACATTGCTTCCTATTCCTGATCTTGACATAGGAATGAAAAAATTTGGTGTTGCAATCCCCTTCTTTTATCCAAAGAATGTGAACCTTCTGTTTCCAATATTTCCTTTCAAGTTTGTATTTTTGTAACAAACTTGAAAGGAAATATTTCTTTTGTGTGCCCAATCCTCCTTAGTAGCCTCACCTGGATTTTCTTCAAATGCTTTTTCAGCAAGAAGGATCACATTTTCACATGCTCTGATATCATCAAAAATATTTCCAAAGACTTCCTTGTTCCAAACTTTTAAATCATGTTTCAGACTTTTGAGTTTAGACACCAGGCCCCTCACTCCTCCCCCATAAGCATAAGAATTCCACTTTTTATTAATGATGTCCTTAAAAGAGGCATTAGAAAACCACATGTTTTGGAATCTAAAGTGGTTTAGGTCTAGAATAACCATTACTGCTGCATTGAATTAAGATTGTGTTGTGATCTGAAGGAGATCTATTAAGAAAAGAAATATGGATATGATCAAAAATATCAATGCATTTATCATTAACAAAACATCTATCAAGGCGCCTCCATACCCTTCCATTTGATCTTACTCCTGTCTAGGTAAAACATGGCCCTGAATGTGGAAGATCAGTCAATTGGCAAGCTGCAATAAAGTCAGAGAATTCATTCACCCCCCTCAAAACTGGTAAAGAGTTCCCTTTATGTTCACTATATTTTGCTATTTCATTGAAGTCCCCTCCCAACCAAGCATATGTCATATTGTAAGAAATAGCCTTGAGGGCATTCCAATGGTCTCTCCTGGTAATGTATGTATGTCTGCCATAAACCCCAATAATCCAACCCTTGAATGTATTACTAGACACTTTAAAGTGGACAAATTGAGTATGCCATTGCACCTGACTAATATTAATCCTTCAGGAGTCCCAAAAAATCCATATTTTTGTGCTAGGTGAAAAAGCTGCATCAATAACACCAAACATAGTTTTGTAATGGTTGATCTTAGAACTGTCCACCGTTGGCTCAATGATAATCAACGACATAAGCCTCCATTGTGTGACTAGGGAACTAAGTCTGGAACTAGAGTATTGCAGGCCCCTAGCATTCCATATTAAGCAATTCATGAAACAGAGCAAAAAATACCCCTAGTTGGACCCTAGTTGGCCTCCTCAGTGATGCTTCTGCTTGTTTTTCCTTTTTTGATGCTTTTCTAACCACCATTGTAAAAGTCTCATCCCTCCCTTCTGATTCCACACGTTTCTCATGCTCTTCAGGTTCAGATTGAGACGGTCCCTCTTTTTCAGTAGCATTGAGGTTAGCTGCTTCCTCTCATCCTAGTTTAAGCTCCATTTTTTCACTAACTTTGATTTCAGGATCCAGTGCTTCAATGTTGATGTTATGAACATTCTTTTGTTGTTCCCCTTCTGAAAAGTACCCCTTGCTGACTCGTGCAGGATCTCCTTCCAAATGATGGATAATTATCAAAAGATGGTGTCATCCTTAGGCCTGCCAATGTCCCTGGGATCTGAGAGAGATAAACCAGGAATTTCAGCCTGGATTAAGGAAACAATGAAGGTTTTTTCTTCAACTGATGGCTGCTCCATTGAATCCAAGAAAACCTCTTCCACGTCTGAGTCACTATCCTTCTGGATGTTATCTGTTTTGGATGTATTTTGCTTATTCTGCTCCTGTAATTTTGTAACTTTCCTTTTCCCTTTTTCTGCTGCTGTAAACCTCCTCTCGAGTGTGTTCTTTATCTTTATTTGGCTTCTGAATCCATCTGTCCTTAGGAAGTGAAATCATCTTAGGCTGCTCAACAACCCTCTTAGGACACTTTTGTTGAGAGTGGCTCAAGTGTAGGCATGAAGAGCAATATTCAGGCCTATTCTCATAAATAATACTTTGAGAGAAGCCATGTGAACTGCAGTTTATCCACACTTTTGAGGCATCTCCTTAGTGAGATCCAACTCCACTTAAACTCTAGCTACTACAGGTCTTGATAGGGTAGTTGTGGCTGAGTCAATTTTAATAGGCTTTCCCACCAATCCAGCTATTTCCCATAGTGCTCTCTTGTCCTGTAGGTGAATTGGCAAACCTTCCATAGCAATCCAAACCGGAACCACCGGAGACTCCACATTTGGACAAAACTCTGGAGTCCATTTGATAACATGCATAGTGTGTCCCTGAATAATCCACGATTGCCTATTCCAACAATTTAGAAAGTCCTCCTCCAATACAAACCTTATGAGTACATGCTTATTGTCCAAAACTCCCAACTGAAAATTCCCTTTAAATCCAATAATCTCAAAGGATTTACCGATCATAGCCAACTAAGGCTTACCTTTGAAAAAATATCCAACCAGATCCTGATTGTGCTTTTATGCGAAAATTTTGATATCTCCCTCGGAAAAATTGATAGAAGGCATCCCTCTGAACCTAGAAGGACTTTTAGCCAAGAGAGCTCCATTACCCGCCACAACCTCTGCAAAGGATTTCCGATCCGAAGCCTTGATCAGAGGCGGCTCCGCCGCCGTAGTAGAATTTTCGGTCATTCTACTATTTCAAACATATGAGCTAAGTCCATATATGTAAAAAGTAATGGTATCCTTGAGGCACATTTACTTTCAAAATAAATTCAATCTAGCTATATTGATTTGCTATAATAAATCGATTTATATACAAGAGTAGCAAATTGATTTTTTGTGTGTGAAAAGACAGGTCCATTTAAAAAATAAATAAACGCGATTATAAAATAGTTAAAATGTCAAAATGGATAAATATTGAAACACTTATCAAATAAATACTATCTCCGTCCCTTTGGAAGGTTCCCATAGCAAAACGGTACGGTTATTTAAGCAATAATTAAATAAACAACTTCGAGTATATTTTGCGAAATAGTTTTAATAGGTATATATTATAATGTAGTTAGTATTGATAATTGTGATGTTATAAATGTATTATTTTTAATATTTAATGATTAATTTGTCACTTAAGATTGTTAATTGTTTCCTAAAATGGAAATGAGAACCTTCTAACGGGACATCCAAAAAAGAAAAGTGGGAACTTTCTAATGGGATGGAGAGAGTAAAATACATGAAAACATACATAATACAAAACTACCATGTAGAATTCATAAAAAAGTAGATTATACAAATAATTACAAAAGTGCAAATAAAATATATATTTTACATTCTTGTTTCTATTTTTCATTTATTTTAATAATATTTTAAAATATGAACTGCTAAAACAGATAACAATAGATTAAACTGCCAAATTGGTGGATTTCTTATTTAAAATGTACTTATGTGATACCAAATTAAAAGATGATGGTGATTTTTTGTAAAAGTTTTTTCTTACAATATAAGCTATAATATACAATGCTTGTTTGGTCGGTAACTATATTCAAAAAACAAATTGCTTCTTAAAATAAATAATTTGCAACACAACATATAGTTATGCGGAATATAAAAGAAGAAGCATCCACTTTTTTTCAATTTGTCACTGCACACATTAAACCTCAAAAACACCTCTTGACCCTTCTCCATTCCTCCATAATCTTTTATATTGCATGGTTTTATTTATTATTTTATAATTTTTTAGATTATTTCATATTTTATTATTGTACGTTTTTGTTATAAGTAAAATAATTTTTAATACTTTATGTTTTTATTATAAATAAAAATATATTTTTTCTTATTGTTTAGAGTAGACCAAGAAGAGAGGGTATTAATTGCTCCCATTTTGAGAATATAAATGCTATAGACCTATTTTGTATTTTGAGATTAATTTACTCTTATTTGGGGCTATTATCCAATATACTATTTGTATGATTAACGTAAGTTTGTATTCTTAATTCTAATTATCTAGTTTTATGAGATTAAATTTTGAATTTACTTTTTATTCAAGTAAATTACATTTTCAGAACATCAAGTATCATGATACATGATGCCTTAAATTGTATAAAGTTAGTCTATGGTTACCTTGTATTAATGGTCACCCACCTAATAATCCATATGTATCATTGTCTCTCTATTATGCATTTTTCTTTTTATCCGATCGAGTCAACTAACTATCATCTGTCCCTTACCTCGCCCACTCCAATCAATTTGCGACTCCTTTGACTCCAACTTTTGTATCATCTTCCTCACTTCAATCTGGTCATACTCCTAAACGCTAAAAAATTATCACATTCCATTGTACTACGTGTATCATCTGCCAAATGATTGATTTACATTGTTTATCTATTGACCCAAATGGAAATTATGGAGATTAAAAGGACAGAAGGAATAACATTTTGTAAGATGAAAGAAAATCTATATTTGTTTATGTTGTGAGTAAGTAGAATAAGAGTAATAGAGTATGCCACATAGTCTTTAAATTTCCAAAATAACTCTGTCATATCCTATCCTTTCCTCAACATGTTTTAATAGGAGTTTTTATTAACAATAATAAAACAAAAAATAAAATATATAAAAATAAAACACCTAAAAAAATATGTTGACCTCTGCAGTCACCTCTGGCAATTTCCAGGGCCACCACATCCAATCGTCAAAAAAATGTGAACCCATAAAAAATGTGAAATCATATTAGAAAGCAAAACTTAACATTTTCAATGAATAATCATCTCATTTTCATGATATTTTCAGAGAGATGTGTGACATTTTCCCGCAAGACATCATTTTACATGGCAGTGAAAGGTGATGATACTCGGAGACGGTGGAAGCCCCCATAATCTTTTAAATTTTACTCCCTCAGTCCCAAATTGTAAGATACATTTACTATTCATTTGGTCAACATAAATCACTCTTAATCTTTTACTTTATATATCAAAAGTTTATAAAGTTTGAATCATTTTTTGCAGGTTTTGTAGCGGTTTTAATGTAGTTTCTGAATATGTAAACTTTATTTTCTAAAACTAATTTGAGTGTTGACGGGGATCAATTTGCTTTATCGTCGGTCAAACATCGTAAACCGTAAAGTATCATACAAATTGGGACGGAGGGAGTATGATTTATTTTTTATTTTTTAATATGATAGATTATTTATTCATTTTGTAGTTTTAATTTATTTTTTATTTTTACATTTTTTTATTTTCATTTTTGTACGTTTCGGTTATATGCATAATATATTTTCAATATTTATGTTTTCATTATAAAAATATACGGAGTATATAATTTTCTTGCTGGTTTGGATAGAATAAGAAAAGAGGGTATAGATTACTCCCTTTTAAGAATATAAAAGCTATAGATTCGATTTGCATTTTGAGATTTATTTACTCCTATTTGGGGCTATTATCTAATTTACTATTTCTGTAATGAACCGGAGATTTTATTCTTAAATTTAATTGTCAATTATTTTGAAATTAAAATTTTACTTATGTTCAAGTATATGCGTTCACAAAATTCTAAAAGCGTCACAAAATTTAAAAAGTGTGCATATTACTGTGTTGTTCTATGTATCACATAATTTAACTCTTACGAGTATAAAATTAATCTAAGGTCACCTTTAGTTAATGTTTACTCACATAGTAACTCTCATCTACCACTTTCTCTTTATTATGCATTTTTCTATCTTCTATCCCTTATCTACTAGCCAACTCCAATTAATATGACTCTCCTTTGACTCGTTCCTTTTGTATAGACCACTCGTTGATACATAGTTGATGATTTTTTACAAGTGTAATTAATTTTAATCAAGCTTGGAATAATAAAAAACAAACTTGTTATTTTAATCGAATCGTTTAGAAAAACCAAAAAAATGAATCATTTGGAATATACCTTGTATAATAATAAAATTTTATATAAAATGAAATATATTCAATATGATTCACCAATGATTACAGAGCAGTACATAATTTTTATAGCCCCATAAAATAATAACCAATACCTGGAAATTAACATCTTCTGTCCCACACAACCCCCGTCAAAATTAAAATCCATCCCACTAATTAAATGCTTTGCAAGTAATTTACCCGTACAACACACAGATGATTTTGACAAAGAATTTTTCCCTTTTCAAAGGTTTATTTATATTAATTGAAGGTAAATAGTTTATAATGATTATGCAATAGGATGACTATACATATATACGAAACACATTTTCTTAAAAGAATAGCCTGGGTAAACAAGCAAAATAGGGGGTTGCAAATATGTGAAAGTGTGTTGTGTCATTCTTAAAATATACTCGTATACAAATTTGTGGGAAACTGTTCAAATAGATCATTCTACTATTTCAAACATATTAGTTGAGCCCACATATGAAAAAAGTAATGGTATCGTTTAGGCACATTTACATTCAAAATGAATTCAATCTAGCTACCTTGATATGTTATAGTAAATGGTTATTGTTGGGATATTGACCTGGAGGCCCAATACCCGGATTAAAACGGCCCAGAATACCCGGCCCAAACAACGAATCCATTACCCTATGATGAACGGGGTTCAGTCCGAGTAAAGGCCGGCCCAGAAAGAAGAGATATCGAATGGAGATCGGACCATATATCATAGTTGGGCCAATTTTTGCGTCATCCGCATGGTCCAGCATCCCGTTCGAGCAACAGGCAACCGGCAAGTGGCAAGGTGTAATTAATGCCAGATTGTGACATCAGCAAGTGGAAGCATGGGTGATCAAGTCGGTGGAACAACGGCCAATCAGCATAGAGCAGCTCATGCTCTCCATTAGTATAAATAGAAGGTTTAATATCATTGTAAGGGTTAGCATTTCGATACTCAAGCTCTAGAATAGCATTATTACTCTTGTTTCCTGTATTAAAAGCACTGTTCCGACCTACCGATCGGGAAGTTTCCTTGTAATCAGACACGTTAAGTAATACAAGTGGGCTTTTGGGTATTAGTGGATTCATCTTTTATATTTTGTTATACACTTTGATTCTAATCCATTCCTGATATATCCAAAGTTTGTGTTGGGCTTTCGGATCTACGGGACGTACCTTCAACATTGGCGCCGTCTGTGGGAAACGTTCAAAAAGTTTCACATTCAATTATCCAAAACAACTATTTTTGAAAATGGTTAGAATCAGTTCTTATCACACAAATGATGGTTCGCGCCGTCACGGAAGGAGTCACACCCCGAGAAATCAAACCCCTCAGGGACAATCCAGCCGAGGATCATATCCTCATTTTGATGGGGACTTTGTAATTCCTGAAGCCCTAAGGAGGAATCCTCAGGCCATGCGAGATATGGCCCAGGTCATGCAACACATGGCAAACGAGGAAGAAGGAGGATCCAATTTTACAGGGGAAACTCCCCACACAGAAACGACCACGGCATCATCCCACTCACGGGCCCATCGAGATAATCGCCGTGGCGCTCCAACAACAGCGCATCATATTCCCAGTGACCGGACCCCGATCGGGTCACAAGCCAGGGGACCTACTCCTATTGGTCGTCATTTCCAGCATGACGAACGGAATAATACTAGGGCCACTCAAAGGCACTGGGATCGGGAGTATACAGATTTGAGGACTCCACCACCGCCCCCTTTGACGGCCCACGAGGAAGAAATAGCTGAAATGAGGAGGCAGAT